AATTAGTTGGTTGATAACATCGATGCTTTCGGCATCATCATAGCACTGAAAAATATCAGAAAGGTTTTTTTTTTAATAGTATCTAGCACTAATAACTGTCTTTAAATAGATTTGTGCTTTAATCTGTGGCCATTTGCATGTACTGCTACACAAGTTGGACAACTATAAGGTAGTTTATACTTAAAAAGTAGTTTCATAGTTAACATGGCCAAAGTAAATGAAACTTAAATCTTCTTAGCTTTGATATCCAAAACAGCTTCCTGGAGAAAATCCGTTCACCTAACTTTGTAGTTGGAAAAATATCCAATGAATGACCCCTTCCAAACCCTTGTTCATTACTAGTTATCTGCAAATAACAAACACTGCCATCTGCAGTAGACTTAAAACTGAAACAAAAGCAATGTGAATTGAAACTTTTTCTATCTCTAAATTCAGATACTCCGATGCACAAAAGCAACACACTAGAGACTTCTGCAAAATCATAATTACAGAAGTGAAACCACACTTTTGCGTATCAGTTTCATTATAAGCATTCCTCCATGTTTGACTAATCAACAATTAATGCTGTCTAGCAGAAAGTGATTGCTACATCTTTATTATGGGCATTCTTCCTTTATTTATTGTCTGTCACAGAATAACTTTCAGATACAGAATCAGAGACTTAAACCAGGTACTGCCAATTTGCGTACTGGAAGAAGGCATTTTTTTCTCCCAGAGAGCTTAAAATCTATTCATTTTTGTTTTAATTTTGTTTGACAGAAAAAGAAGGGCTTATTAATTAAAAAAGAGCAAATTATTAAAAAAAAAATAAAAAAACATCACCCTGCAACCTGGAAATTTTAAAAAGATAATTTTCTTGTACACTGGATCAAAGTGTACCTCTTGTTAGTTAGAAATCAATCAGCAAACTAGCACCCACCTAAAAACTATGTTTTTCAACAGACTTACTCACAATTCAGTTTAGCAGAAACTGATACGGATTGCACCTCCAGAAATCAGAACTGTTAAACAAAGGCGTCTAATTATGCCTTGGGATCCTATCTTTAGTGACCCAAATTGGTAAATTAGTTCCTAAAATTTATTTCTGTTTAAGTAAGCATCACACAGAAAAACATGATAGAGCTACAGTCCTCTGATGTTAGCCAATATTAACAGTACATGGTACAGAAAATCAGAAACAGGTCTCCAAAAATGAAAGACGTTTTAGTCGATTTTCCAAATTTAAGGCACTGTTTACTAATTTTCTAGTTTTAGAGCCTTATAAGACTTCACAGGGTTTCTAGAAGAGTATGAGGATGACAAACTTCCCGTGCTTTTAAATAGAAGCTAGGATTCTCTTGTTAGTACCCAATTCCAGAAGCTGGTAAATTAGGAAAACACCAAGAACTGTAAGATTCATAAAAACATAATGACAATTAACAGTACTCTCAAATGCTATGTCCCTTCAAAATCAGATTTATTTACGAACTCCGCTTATGAGTGCATCACAGATCTATCCATCAGTTACTTCCTGCGCAATGCCTCCAGGCATTTAGAAATCTATTAAAGGAATGGCTGGGATGTGGGACATCACCTGGATATTACAGGCATGATGGTGTAACTTTGGCAGCCACGCATCATGGGCAGTTTCCTGCAGAGACAACCTATGACATGTTTTCGAAGTTTTTTGGGGTTACACTTACTGTCACAGCACGCCGTGGCTCATCTGGAGATGGTGACAGTACCCTGCACCTACTGCTCAAGCAGTTTTAAACTGGGAGAAGGATACGTGTATCTGTGTCATCCCACTTTCAGTCATCCAAAGATGTGCCAGCTCACATCATATACTACTGCTAATTGAGCACGAGGGGCATCTAAACAAAATAAATACCCTCGGATTGAGATTTGCTAACGCGAGTACTACGCAGGCATTACTGACGGTAAGGGGATTCCACACAGACGCAATCAGAGGTTCAGACTGTCAACTCACTGCACAGAGAGGGATTGGAGAGAAGACCCTTGGCCTACTTGAGGCTTTCAGGGTACACAACACTGTTTCCTGCATGGATTTTTTTTTTTCTTTTTTTTCCTCTACTATGTCAGCCTTTACATGATGCGCAAAAGCTCTTACCTGGTACAGAACGCAAATCTTATGCCACCTCCTATGTCTTGTACATGTTCACATACATAAGGAAGAATAACATTGACAAAAATGCTGTTACATACAAAATCAAATGGGTGGGAATTAATTAAGGGAAGTAGCTGTGAGTCTGGGAAAAAACGCAATCATTCAATCTTGTGGGTTAGTTCTTAAAAAAAAAACTAGAGAAAGGGAAAGAGGGACACACTGTGAGAAACCATGTTCTGTATCAACAACATCTGTTTTCCTGATTTTCTCATCTGATTTTACAGGACTTACTCTTTGGAGTACTCCTCAATGTTCACTGCTCTACTGAAGTCTATCCTCAGCACTGAACCAAGTTTCTCTACTAATTAAAATAGTACAATTTACCTATATGCCTCACCGAGATGACACAGTCTGAAGTTATATTACAACAGGAGGTGCTGTATAAATGCCAGATACATTTTAATAAATCAGAAATAAAATTATTCTTGAGAACAACCTGTTACACACCTAGAACTAAAATATACCTGCACTAAATTTTCTGATATTATTATACGGGCTTGCAAGTTTATATTCAAGATTGTTGACATTACCGTCAATGGCACTGACTTCAGAAATCTATGACATTTTGCAGTGGGTTTGTATGTTGTTTCTCTGTTGTTTTTTGGATTGAGCTTTTTAGGTTTTTTTGTTTGTTTGTTTGTTTTTAACAAGGGGGGCAAATTTCCACAAAAAGGGGGAAGAAGTTTACGTTAAGAATTGAGTATGACCTGCAAAACAAAACAACAGCTATTCCTTCCCAATATAGTAACATTGGGCTCTTCCTAAATTTTGCAACATGAAACAGTAAGTAGTAATAAAGTGCTTTAGACATGTATATCCATATTTGACAGATCAAGCAGACTGAGGCAATACCTCACATCAAAACTGGATTTCTTATCTTGCAGTAAAACTTGGCATCATTCTTACTGACCTTAAGATTATCTATGACAACTAGGATTATTGTGTACCCCACATCAATCCCTTATCTGCATGATCTTATGTTGGAAACAAGATGAAAAACTTCCTTAACCACATTTTCTTTTTCATTTGAATAAACACAGATGAAGAATGTTTATCCTGTAATCTACAGCAAACAATTCTTTAGTTCAAACAAATACAAACAAAACATACTATCAGATTTAACACCTTTGTGTTTACTAAAAGATGCAAAGCAGTTGTCAGGTCTTATTTTAAAAAGGGATCCTCTTTAGGTAAAAATCTGAATATACTTGCGAATCAGATAGTCTTCAGTTTTGCCAACTAGTTTTACCTTATTCTAAGAAGAGCCTGCCATCACTATTCAACCAATATGCTCCATACCCTATCTGTTTTAGGAAGGTAATAAATAAATACTTGAAGGAAGTCTAGAATCTTGTGAAAGAGAGTCTATACATCACAAGTCAGGGAACCGATAGGTGCTCAAACTTGTTAGCAAGGAAGGATCAAGCCCTACACGTCAGTCTGATACAACTCCCTTCAAAAACAATGTCACTAGATTCTAACACTGCTAAAACTGACTCCGAAAAATCTTGACTTTGTAACTTGCCAGTACACAGGTGATACACCCTGAATAATGAACTCTTTCAACTGGCAATAAAAACTGAAAACACAGTTCTGAGAATAGGGCAATGACAGGCAGATAACTCTTAAAACAGAGATTTAATTGCTGCTAAGACTCTCTAAAGACAAGAAAAGCACAAGGTATATTACATTATGGGTCTAAACTGCACTAGAGCGCAAACACCTCATATGTTACATGCAGGCTGAGTTGAACGTGGACTTAAAAGCAGTCAATAAGAAATAACAGCTATTTGGTAAGGGCAGTCAGAGCAAGACAGCAGACTTTTACGAAGCCATAAAACAAGTCATACCCACTTATTTTCTGACTTTAAAAAAAATCCCAATTGCAACTGAAACGGTTCAAAGGTGCTAAAATCTAGATTATCAGCTGCTTTCACAGGCATAAGAGGGAAAACCAGACCAATTAATTAAAACTTTCTTCTTCTCTCTCATCGTACATGTAGCTCAGTTGAGGACAAATATAAATTCTGAAGCAAGGCAGCAGGCTTATTTATTCGGCTTTAAAAATCAACCCCAGAAACGCAGCTACATCTTGTTCGCAAACCAAAATCACGAAAGAAAGTGTACGTACGAGTGGAGCATGCGGAAACTCTATTTCAAACTGCAAAACACCCGCGGATCACAGGAGACACCGGCACGCAGCCCCCGGCCAACCCGCATTCTCAACTTCTAGGAAGGGAAGGAAGGGCGCACTCTGCCTCAGAAACGCAGCTCTGGGTCCAGGTGTCTCACCGTGACTACTGTGATGACACCAACGTTCTGAGCGCGGTATTCCATCACGAATCGCGTTGCGAGAGTCATGTTAGCATTACTGTTCAGGAATAAAATTCAGCCTGCAGCTCCCCCGGGACCAAAAACTGCCTTTACCACCTTTTCATGCTACTTTCTACACCTTTTTTTTTTTTTTTTTTTTTTTTTTTAGGAGACACCCCTGGTTCAGAACGGGGTGCAGCGACAAGAAAGAGCAGCTGACGGGATTGCCAGCAGCAGCCAGGGGCATTTTCTGTTTTAAAACCGAGACACGCGGGGAAGCAGCGCGGCTTCCCAAAGCCTGTATCACTTTCACCGCTCGCCCTGAAATTTAAGGAAACTGCGGGCAAAACACAACAACATCCCCCCCCCACCCCGGACGGACCCTGCGGCTGCCCGCGACCAGCTCCTCGGCCCGGGGCTGCCCCGTCCGGCGCCCCCGCCCCCGCCGGCCCCGGGGCGCGCTCCCGGGGCAGCCCCGCCGCCCCCCGCGGCGGGGCGAGCCGGGGCCGCGGGCTCCTACCTTGTTTGAGGCCATTTCGCTGACGGAGTGCCTGGTCTGCAGGGTCTCCAGCTGGTCCAAGCACCAGTCCAGCTCCTCCAGGGTCTCGCTGGCCAGTTTCTGGTAGGCCTCCTCTGCGAAGAGACAGGGAAAGGCGTACTCAGTTCGCAAGCGCTTCACAGGGCTAACGGCGAGCTCCGGCGCGTCCATCCTCCGCTGCCCGGTGCCCGCACATGAGTGCGGCTCCCTCATACTGCCAGCCCGGGCAGCGGGCGGCGCGGCTCCTGCCCTCTTCGGAGCCGCCGGGTCGGCGAGCGGCGGCAGAAACTTCCCGCCGGCCGGGCTGGCCGCCTCCCCTCGCCTCTCCGCGCCGCCCCTCGCCTCGCCGGCAGCGCCGGGCTCCGCGGGCGCGCAGCGGCCCCGCGGCGGTGGCGGGGGGGGGGGGGGGGGGGCGGGCCAGGCCCGCCGGCGACGGGTGAATCAGCGGCCGCGGGCGGCCACCGCGCTTCCTGTTTTCGCGGCTCCGCCGGCGGCTCGGCTGCTGCTCTCCGGGACCCGCCGCGCCCCCACCCGCGGTTTTCACACGCGGGAGGCCCCGCGGGCCGGGGGAGCCCCGCAAAGCGCGGCGCGGAGCCGGCCCCGCCGAGCCGGCCCCGCCGAGCCGTCGTCCCCGCGCTGTGTCACCTACCCCCGGGGAGACCATCAGAATCACTTGGTTAATGCCTGTAAAGCGTGGGGAAGGTGGAAAAACACGTGTAAGTTCTCGGGATAACGATGGCCCACCCAAGCACCACCTGTTCAAGGACTGTTCGAGTAACTGCAGAAGCGTTGGCTCTAACCCAAAAGATTCGTGTGTGTGTGTGTGTGTGTGTGTGTGTGTGTACAAAGCATCAGATATCGGCTGTAAGCAAAAAAGGGCTGATGAAAGTTTTGGAACTGGACTCAGCAACACAGTATGGGAAATGGACCCAATAACAGCACGACAAGTCATGCTTTAACCAAAATTGCAATATGTCATACTGGAGCTAACGGTCTTAAAACTTGCAGAAGCTTCACTCACAGAGAGGAAGACATTCCCTTCTTCAGTAACTCTCCAACAGCAGGAGATCTGCTGGTATGCAAATAATTTCAGAAAAATAATCCCATGTCTAGGGTATGAGCCTCACCTACAAAGCCCAGCTATTTTCTTTCTGATACAGATCTGAAGTGGAGAACGCTTGTCCACTCTGAACTTGGAGCTGAGTGAGTTTTAGCCCAAGCATGCTCTCTGACAAGCTGTGTATCTGAAACATTGAGCTTTGAAACTCCTGACATGGATGCTTCCGTATCATCTATGTGCAAATGTAACTCCAAGGTAGAGAAATGTTTATTCAGTGGGCTTGTTTTTGCCATCTGAAACATCTCCCTTAACTTGTTTCACATCAAATTAGCCTTATTTTCAAGATGCCAGACAAGCAAAGTATCAGGCAAACAAATTAACTAAAACTCATTTTTAAATAAAGCATCCCTGCGTGGACTACTGCCAAGCAGCTCAGCGTACTACTGCTCAACATCTAGCATACTAGATTTGTATCATTCTACATTTCTGAGCACATGCTCAAAAACTTTGGGTTCCTTCACAGCTGTTAAACTTCACATACTTGTGGCTACGGCAAAAAACACTCCACAATTTTGAATAATGTCCATTCACCTCTGGAAAAAAGGCAATGTGAGAAGAAGTTTGGATTGAGTGTAATTGGCAGAACCTTTTAAAGAAAATTTTGCAGTGCCTGCCCATATCACGATTAACCTGCCACTTCAGCAAACACAACACTGACCAATACTCAACAAAAACACATCCCCATTGTATTGTAAGTACTGCCTTTCAGACATGTCATACTACAAATGCTATCTGATCCAAAAGAATTCCCCTGGCAAATAAAGTCAGGATTTTGCAGTCTGTTTATTCATCAAGAGAATCTGTGACGTTCTACAACACAGCAGACATCACAGCTCACTAGTTCTTGAACATGACTGGTTTACTGACCTCACAGTGTACATTTCATCAAGATCAGTACTGTAAATAGAAATAACTTTCTTTATAATATATTTGTAAGTGTTTAAATGCTTTTGATGAAGCAGAGATGCGGCTAACGTATGCATAGTTATCTGATGACCTTATACAATGATTTCATTGAGGATAAAATGCATAATGAAGTGAGGTAAAACAAATCTGCAATGACATTTTGCTGCTAGCCTGCAGCCTGCCCTTCAGCTGTTCTTGAAAATCAGATTCCGGGAAACTTCTGTTTTTCTTCACGAGTAAACATCATCCCTTCCAAGACTTAAGAAAGTAAGAGGGTAAGATTTTTCCAAGAAGTATGAAAACAACAAAATAAACTTAAGGGATACCATATTTCATTAAAAGTAATAAAATGCTCATTTGTTTTTTAGAATTAATTTTTTTTTTTGTTATCCGTATAGCAATAATATATATTACCAACATCATCTTACATTCAGGAATCTTTATCTACTACCCACCTCCCCAGTTTATCTCAAAGCACATTAGAAAACAGAATCCATCACCCACAAGAAAGTCCCTCACCCTTAGGATGCTCCTCACGATCTGTCGTTTCTGGCTTCCACACTTACAGAGCCTGTGGCTGCTGTGGGGACTTGACTGACCACTCAGACTAAGTCAACTTCTTATGGCCAACGCTAGACTAAAGACTTGTTGGACTCAGCACCTCCTGCCAGTTCTCAGATTGCAGAGCGGTCAGGGCAGCCCTGATAGCTTAAATGGAAATAAAAGGGTTTCAAACTGGTGACAAAGTACCCATCAAACTAGCACGCCCGCTTTGTTCCTGCAGTTCTAAGGGCAGAACAACCATAGGAAAGCTTTTTTCTAAACAGTACCGAAGCTCTAAATTTGGCCCACACTTTTGTTGTTATACAATGTGGTGGAAAATGTTGTCGAGGTTAACAGCTTTTCAAGTATAACACCCTGTCACTGCTAAGCTAAGAATAAAAAAATAATTATCAGCCATGCAGCTTTGACAGTCTCACAACACCGTGTCTGACCTCTGTGTTACTGCTAAGGTAGCACCTTGTAATTATCCCCAGCCAGGACTGATCTACTTACCAGGTTTTTTGGTATAGGTGCACGATCTACCTCAACCCTCCCCCCTCAGCACCCCCCACCCGGATGATGAAGTACTAAAACAGATTAACTTCTGTAAATGAGAGGGGTTTTGAAATTTCAAAGGTCCTTTTTATATCACATTAGGCTTTAGTAAGAGGGAGAGAAATACAGTGTAACACCAGTTGCTTTAACAATTTGCATGTTATTTCATATATGCTTTTAAAAGAAAGGCAGTGACAACAAATGTTCTCTTTACAGTTCACAGATTACTACAAACAATTCCACCACATGTATCTTTCAGTATGGCACATAGGAAAAAAAAAAAAAAAAAAAAAAAAAGGTTAGCAGAAATAAAAAGCTCAGCCATAATCATTTGGCACTACACACCTATTTTTTTTTAAAAGGGTGTTTTGCTGTCTGTTTTTATGAAAGACTTGATTCTTAGCACAGCTGCGAACACAACACCAGAGGTAGCTGTGCTTGTATTCACACCTTTATCCAGGAACAACTTCTGTTCAAAAATTTCAAAGGGGAAAATTACTATATGGCAATAATTTGTAATTAACTGTAACTGAACTTCACTGTTCATCGTGATTTTCATATACACTGTCCCACTATTTCCAGAGAACAAAAAGCAATACCAGACTCTTCTACTAGTACTCAAGTGTATTTGTATTAACTTTTGCAGTACTTTAAGGAGTTTCAGCACAGCAGAAGGAAAACATAAGTAAGATTCTTCATTGTTGTCCAGTTGGTTGCAATTGTCTGAGTGATGCAAAGAGGCTGGAAAAGAGTTGACTTAACAAGTGCACAGCCAAGGGCTTTGACCACTGTGTTGCCTTAAAATGGGAGCATCGTGGAGACAAGACAAGATCACTATCAAGCTGTGGAGTGATCCAGATAGGCTCAGCATGTGTAGTGAGTTTTGGGGGTGCAGGCAGCTGGAAGAAGCTCTGGAAACCTCCAGGCCACTCTAAATGAAGATGAATTGAAGATCTACTCTGAGACTCAGACACTGGACATCTTCCATTAATTTTCTGACCATCGTTTTGCTCTTCTACCTGGTGTGAGCTTAAAGTTTGGAGCAACAGAATTGCTGGGCCAAGAGTTCCAGTTTCTCTTACTACTATAGCATTTCAAAAAAACCCCTCTGTGATTCAAACTAAGAATTTTTTCTGTAAATGAGGATGTCTGTACTTACAGCCTTAACTGATGACCTATATATCAAAGTTACTGACATTTTAGTCCATGTTGGCACCTTCTATTAAACATAGCCATATTAACACTGATTAAGTGTAGAAATAGCATCTGTTTTCTTAGTCACCCATTTTATAACCGAAAAAAAAAAATTTTGTTTTTAGGTCTTACTGAGAAAACCGTAAACATTGTGACTTAAAAGACTATCTTTGTGGAGTGCTGATATGTCTTACTGTTGATAAAATGTAATTATGAAAGATATCTTTGTTTAACGTTAGAAATTTGCAGATGTCCCTCCACAATCACAAGTAAAACAAAATATGCTTGATCAGAGTTTGGAATGAGCACCTGGGAAGACAACTCAGCTGCAGCAGAGAAACTGTTTTGATAGTCCCACTCTGAACACTCACTTTCTTCCATGCCAGGAATCTCTCCAAGTTTCCACTCTGGGGAAGAAAAATCCTTTGTACTGGCTAGTAGCCTTATGCATAGACGGACTGTGTCCAAATAGCCAGGACTAGTCCCGCAGGTTGTGATGATCTGCAGGACTCCCCCAGCTTACTGATTTATACAATGCCAGTAGCACTAGCCTTAGGCTATGGAAACTGCCTTACCTCCTTGAACAGAGAATGTAGTAAACTCCAGGAAATAATAAGAGCAAAATTATAAAGTCCAGTTATGCACAACTTAAAATATTTGACTACACTTACATTATAAAAAAAAGGACCAAATAAAGAAATACATGGACAAAACACACATTAAATGAGGATCTAGGAAAAAAGGTAGTGTTTTTTTTTTTCCCCCAACATTTTTTAT